CTCATGCTTCTCTTTTGAATAAGGAGAATTTTAGGGATATGCAATAGCAGTTTCATTTAACAGGGCTGCCTTTGGCAGATAAAGCTACAATACAGCACAGGCTCTGCTTCTGTATAGGACTTATAAATACTCTATTTTCTGTTGGTATGTGTGGCATCATCTGGTCTATTGGGTTTTCAGCTCTGTTAAAATGAAATAAACAATCCTTCCTAAACAGTTATGGACTCCTTCCTTTCTATTTGGAAAACAAGGCTTCATATGCAAACAGAGACAAACAAATAAATGTATATAGACAGAACAAAGGAAAGGTCTGTGCTCTGTCAGACAAGGATTAGGGAGCAGCTACTGTTCAAAAGAAGGCATTTCAATCCTCCTTTCCATGAGTAATAACTTTATACATTAATGGGGGGAACTGTTCAGAATATCCATAAACATACATACTACACCTCTAAATTATTTGGTAGGAAACTTCCAAATATCCATATTCCCCCCCAAAACAACTCCAAAGTTGTCTTACTGTATTGATAGAGTTGAAATTATGAAAGGTGAAAGGTAAAACAGTAAGTTTCTCTTGCTTAAATAACATATCTGTATATATATATTATTCTTGAGACAATTTTTTCGTCTGATTAAACAAAAAAAAATAGTCAAGATTAATCCAAGTATTTGATAAATAAAATTCAGTCTTTGATTAAAAAAAAAAAATCTGTAAGAAACAAGCATATTTTGCACTTTAAATACCTATGGAAAGATTGTTCTTTACAGGAACACTGTCTCTCAACAATCCAGATAGTTGTACTTCTTTTGGATGCAAATATTCCTCCCAAATGAAAGGAGCCCTTCACCTGGCTACTCCATCTCTGTTCTCAACACCAACAAGAGATTTGAATCTATTCCTGCAAAGCAGCTGTTGTGTTAAATCTTATTTTTCATTACTTTCAACATTTTGCTTTTGTAGAATTTTTGTAATTTTTTCTTGGGAGTTTCCACATGTTCTGGGTTCACAACCTGCTCTGCCAGCCTCCCTTCATCTCTTTTCTCAAAGTAACAGGCAGTGTGTTCACCCCAGCATTCTGCATCAGACAATCAGTCAAAAGAATGATATATAATAAAAATAATGATATTAATATAATAATAATAATATTATTATAAAAATAAAATTCTGTGCCAGAATCCCTTGAACTGCTTTCTGTACAAAGCAGTTAGAATTTTTTTTCACTTATTTTAGTAAGATTATTCACTATATACTCAGGCACCAGCCATTACCCAAAAGAAGAAGGTGAATTGACACCTTCCTTTCTCCCAGTAAATCCCAGTGGCTGTGGCTGTGCTGCAGATCCATCATCCCTGTTCCACATGGTAGCAACATGGTTGGAATTTGCTTGCAGCAACCTTGGTAACTTCACTGTCTTTTAGATGGATGTTATAGTGCTGTATGCAGGTGTTGTTCTGCATATAAAACACTGTCCTGGCTGCAGCAAAGTTGCCTACAATTTATTTTATTTTATTTTTCCTCATTCTCCCTGTCTGGTTTTATCCAGTAGAGGCCTTTTTGTTCCAGAAGTTTTCCCGGGTCACATTCATAACCTGACTAAGATTTACTAACATATAGACTAACATATGTTTGCTTCATTCCCTGAGGTGGCAGCAGCTGGGGAAGGGAGGGAATGTTTGGCCCTTTGCTGTGACATCTCTCCCTTGGAGACCCTCAGTTAAAGGTTTGCCACCACACTGTGCCACACACTGTGTAAGTGCAGTAAATGGTGCTCCAGACCCACTGAAAACAGTCCTGCTGCAGATCCAGAGATTCACCTAGTACAGGAATAAGTAGCTTTTAGTCTCCCTGTGCACCCATCAAGTACCAAATGAAATGCCTGTGTTAGTTCCTGATAATAACAGGGTCAGCTGGGACTTTTTCACTGGTGCTGAAGATCACTCAGCGAAATACTAATTGGGATGTCTTCTTAATAAGAACACGTTATACCCACCCAATGCCCTAGGACAGCTTTCAGGAAATTAAAAGAAGAAATACCTTCCTAATTAAAACTGAAATTATGCGAGGAAGAGCTCCACAGAAAAGTTCAAATCAATAGTTCTGGTGTTTGGAGTCTCTCTTTCATTACTGCTCTGTGATATCCAAGATCAATGTGCTTCTGCTCTGAGTGCAATCAAAGTATTCCCAAAGTGCAAATTTTTGCTCCCAGAGTAAGAGACTCTTTACAGCCCTCATCATAGCTCACATGCAAAAATATATGAAGTCTGATTTTATTTCACGTGGGACAGCTATCCAAAACATGAATGCTGAAAAGGTTTTTGTAGAACAGCTTCACATAAACAGCATTAAAACAGCATTAAAGCGTCATTAAAGTTGCTCTGAAGTTAATGGAATGCAAAATCAGCTCACTCAGCAACTTAATTTTGGAATGCATTAAAAAGAGCTATATTTAATGATGCTATTGTTCAGTTGGAATAATTTGTGTTTAATTTCTCAGGGAAATTCGAATCTTTTATCCCGAGCACTGATATTATTTTCTTTTTATACTTTTATCAATGGTTCAATTGCCCCTTAATCAAAAGACAATGCAAGAGGGAATATTTCTCATTCAGCAGAGCATCTTGGCTAATTTTATGGCCCCATATGTGATCCCTCTGAACAGAAGTTCACACAAAGCACAATTTACAGCGTAGGCATAACTAGATAGCCAAAAATAGAATATGCAAAACTCAGTCTGAGCGACACAACTCTTACATGCCCTTTGGGTTGGAGCTGATATTCACAACTTGATTAAACATGCTCTAAGAATGAGCACACAGGGATGCATTCGGTATTAGCAGCTAGAGAAATAATTCTGGGGACTTCATCCTGGAAACAACTCCCCCAGGTAATTTTTACTGCATTTATTTATGATTTAAAATGGGCTATGGAACAATACTTTGTATCTTAAAGTTCAGCTTAAGTTTGCTCTAGACAAGGAATAAAATGAACTCCTCTGATACTGGAGCTGTGGTTCTGGGGGGGGGGGCCATACCACAAGGCTTTATCTTATGGTGCTGTGTAATAGCTAAAAATCACCATTAATTTTACACAGCTAACCTCAAGCAGTTAGCTGCTGAAGATCTGATCTGCATCCAGAAAAAAATGTGATTTTCAGAGGGTTTCACCCATTTATCAGTTTCACAGATCAGTCTCTGTGCATATTTTAAAAAGTACTGAGATGGTGAAATATTGACTCTTTTTAATATGCACACAGAGCTGATTTCAAAAAGAAGCAATGAAGACAAGTCAGAGTGAAAAAAAAAAATTCAAAATTACATAAAGACCATTTTAGAACTACTATTGACCAGAAATTTTTCAGTTAAATGAAATTATTACCACAAGAAAAACAACAGAATATTAAACTTAAGATTACAGAGGCATGACTGGAAAGCCTGATGCCTCCTCACTCAGAAACCTACATCTGTTCCAGGATTCAGAGAGGGTGAACTGGTGTGTGACTGGTGTCACCACTGTAGCAGTTATCCTAACACAAATTTAGATAGGTACCTGTTATCCTTCATCCCAAATTCATCTCTGTTACCTTGTGTTAATCCCAGCCTGTGTACTGAGGATGAGTCACAAACACACAAATCAGCTTCCAAAAAGCCGTTGCCATAAAATATCTACATTGAGCTTTTACACTGAACTGCCTGAGCGAGGAAGGCCCATCTCTCCTGTCTTTAACCTGCCTGGTTCTGACCTGGACAGACCTCAGGACAAGGACAGAGGAAGAGCCAGGACTCAGCTGGGAACGGGTGCTGCTGGTTGGATGCTCCCAGCTGAGTGAGCTCTGCTTCCCCAGGGGGGCTGAATTCCAAGGGAAAAGGGCTGGCTCCAGCCTCAGCTGACTGAAGCTGCGTGTCCCTACAGGACAGGAGTGATGGGATCACACTGCTGGCTGCTTTCAGCTGGGAGGGGACAGCACAGCACCTTCCAGAGCTGACGGAGGGTTTGCTGATTGATTCCCTGTCCACTCCGTATGGAGGAACTGGCTCCAGCTGCCCCAGGGGCTGGTTCTCCCCACATTTCCCTTCCCAGAGTGCCAAGCTTCAGACACTTATCCTGGCCAAACAATCCTCAAGAGCATTCATTTCAAAAATACCTTTGCTACAAACACACTTTGCGCGTCCGTGTGAGACTTCTCTAAACATTTTTCTTCCCAGTGTGGATTATTATTAATATCCAGATATTTACATAGCAAGATTTAAAGGCAATGTGTGCTCCAGCACTCAGCACTATTTGTTTTCTGTGACAGTATTTTAAAAGACTACTTTTAAAACAAACATGAAGTGTATGCAAGACTATATTATGCAGCTCAGCACAGAACAATAAAAAGGACAATACATATATTCATAAATTTAAAAAAAAAGCCTACTTGTTCAGCAACATTAAAATCCAGCTTGACCTTTCAAAGAACAAATCTATTGGAATTGCAAAATTTTTCAGCCTCTTAATTAGCTCTGTGCAGAAGAACCTAATGCCACAAGCAAAATGGATATTTCCATTCTGGCCTCCTTTACAGACTGAATTAAATACTTCTGGATGTGACTCACTTGAAACCAGAAGGAACGAAGTTCATTAACCTCACTGATTTAACCAATCCAATTTGTCATATTTGAGAATCAATTGAAAGTTCTCAGACACACAGAAATCATTTTACACAGGTGAAGTCTCAGTAAAAGCCAGCTGTGTTAACAAATTTATCTGCACCAAAGCCGAGCCATCCCAATCTAACGACAGCAAGAGATTTTTAAATGTTCCATGGGCTTGTACTTATAAGTAAATCCCTATCCATAAAAAAAAACCCAGACCATAAAACATATAGGTTTTGCAGCACCAGTATTTACCACTTCATAATCAACAACAGGACATTCAGGAACTAGCACGGCTTGGTAAAAAACCCTACACCTCCTTCCGCTGCGTTTTATTTTATTGATTAAAAAAAAAAAAAAAGCCTACTCACCAGAATTTTTGTGGTATAAGCACTGTTGATAGCAATTGCATTAACCAGCAATTCCATGGTTTTGGCAGGTATGGAATCTGGGTCAGGGATCTCCTTGTAGTGGACATCACCAACGTAGGCTTGGACAACCGTCATGCGGTTGGTCGTCAGCGTGCCGGTTTTGTCGGAGCAGATGGCTGTGGCATTTCCCATCGTTTCACAGGCATCCAAGTGCCTGACCAGATTGTTATCCCTCATCATTTTCTAAGGAGAAAAAAAAAAAAACCACGTAAAATAAAAAACCTTCAAGATTTTGCTTTGACAGGTTTTTAACACGGGTTATAAAAAGCGCAGGAGAATGGGTTTAGTCTTGCTTGTGAAAACATAAAGCTCCCTAAATTTGAACTTTGATCCAGGCCAATATCCCAAACCCTTACAGACAACCAAGCTGTGATTATCCTTGAGATAATTTTGCCTTTAATAAGCTAAAACGGTTCCATAATTGTTTGCAATATTCTACATTTCAAGAAATAGCTCCAACAGCAAAGATTAGTTAAAGAAAACAAAAATAACGGCATTTTTCAAACATCATCATTATGGCAAATATTCAGCTTTTTCTTAGTAATATTTGGAATGCCAGGATACTATCTTGCAGCACATGGATGGACTATACATCCAGGAGAAGGGAAAAGGGAAAGGAAAAAGGGGAAAGTGGAAAAAGGGGAAAAGGAGAAAAAAGGGGAAAAAGGGGGAAAAGGGAAAGGGGTGTCAGATGAAGGACATGAGGAGAATGAGAAAATATTTTAAAAGCAGCTACAGTCTTTATTAGCAAACTGTCATCCTCGAGACATGGGTTTTTTTCCCCCCTAATAATTATGATATTTGGCTACATAGAAATCAAGATATTCCTTCTTAAAGTTCATAATTTGTTTACATGTTAAATGGGAATAAACTTTACTTCATCTTCATCTAAGATTGCCAGAATGTTTAAATAAGTCCCTTCTGACTAAATTGCTAAAGTAATCCACAAGTCCAGGATTTTAATCTCTTTAGCTTCCTAATAGAATCATTTACATTGACTTCAAAGAACTGCAACTGCATTTCAGAAAAGTACATGAAAGCTTCAGTGAAACTCTAATTTCTTTGTAAAGTGTTCCTGAAGGCTTCAAATCCTTGTCAAAACTTTGTCCTATTGCACAAGAAAATTTGAATACAAAATTATTCCCTGTCCAAAGACTGGACTGTTCTCAGAGTAAATTCTGCTCAATAAATTCCTTGTTCTTTGCAAATCAAATAGGTATTTCTACTACCTGATTATCCTGCACTGTGTGGTTTTAAAGAGATCTATTAGAAAACATATGTATTCACATTTTTGTTAGATACTTTCAATATGAGTTTACTTTAAAACAATTTCACTCTAAATAACATTTTGAGCACATAATTTGCAGACCAAGTTTCATCACACCTGATAAAACCTGAGGGCCAACTCAGTGGTGAACTTGAGCAAACAGCATTTTTCTCCCATGATTATTTTTAATGTCTCTTACCTTTACAGAATAAGCCAGAGAAATAGTGACAGCAAGTGGGAGTCCCTCAGGAACAGCAACCACGAGCACAGTAACACCAATAATGAAGAATTTAACAAAATACTGGACGTAGACAGGAGTGCACTCAGGCAACCACTGCTTCTTGTTGACCACAAACGTGTCAATGGCAAAATATAGTACCAAAATTATGACAGTGATAGCAGACATCACCAAACCTGGAAAGAGAAATGATCCATTACTGTAACACAGAACACAATTAAAAACATCAGAAATCAGAAATCTGCATTGGAATTTGATGTGAAATTATTTTCTTATTCTAAGTGACATTTCTCACCAATATTAATAATGATGATAATGATCAAGTCTACAGGAAGAAACATTGTTATAATATAATTACAACAGCATTACATTCCAGTACATAAAGAAACACTGAATGCTGCAGAACAGCTGAATCACACTGCATTCATTTTTAAGCACTGTCTTACTGCTGCCTTGAAAACTTCCCAGCCAGTCCAGTTCTCCAGGAGTTCCTCTGTCACTTATTTAAGTTTTTTCAATTTAGTACATTATTTTGCCTGGTAAAATATTTATCTGTCCTTTTAACCTCCCCCTTTTACACATTACTAGTCTATCCATATTCAAACACTCACTTTTCTCTTTAATAAATGTATCTTAGGAGACCTGAGAAAAATAGTCTCCTGTAGTTTATGTTGTTGCATAAAACACTTTAGAAAAGCCCTAGGGATGTATCTGGGTGAACATAAGGGAGCAGTAACAGAGAATTATCCACAGAACAGTTTTTAACTAAGTCTCTTGAAAATGTGATAAATACAGGTGTTTCCTAGGTTTCCCTTTTCCAAGGGACATCCACAAAGTGTGTACTTTTATGAGGAGAGACTCAAAAGAAGCAGAGACATTAACAAAAATTTCACAGAATTCACAAAAGATCCCAAGCACTTAATATGCTCTCCCAACGGCACAGACTGCTAGGATAACACTGCTCCTCCACAATTTTGTTCCTGGAGTGGAGTAGACAAATAAAAACTCCAGCAGAGCCTCAGCTTTGCCTTGCTGTGATTACTGCTCTCTGGCAGGTTTCTGTGAAGCAGTTAAGCCTGTATTTCAGAATAAATTAATTTCTCCCTAATGGGATCACGCAGTAAAAAGGAGAATACTGTGAATTTCATGTCTTGACTGCACTTTAAAAAAATTGGTAAGCTGAAGGATGCTAAGGGTGACAGGAAACAGATGAGTCAGGGAGATCATTATATGCCAGAGGACACAGGAAAATCCATTAAAATATTATACTCATGACAACACACGACATGCCCATAGATTGCCCAATGACAAAGAAAAACCAAAGGAGACAATAATTAATTAATTTAATTCACATTAGTCGCCACATTATGGTTAGAAATCCCTACACAATCACTTTAACTGTGATATTCACGGGCCTGCTGAAATATCAGAGAGAGCGAGAATCAAAGGCAGTGCAGAAAGGTACTTGACCTAAGAAGTTAATAATCATGGGAAACAAAGGAGAGAAGCCTGAGCAATATGAAACCAGGCACAGCACTGATTGCATAGCAGAGATGATGACCACAGAATTTGAGTCACACACTGTGCAGGAAAAAGAGAATTTGGCATCTTGGGGTTATGTGATCAACTGACCAAAATGAAGTTTAAAAGGAAGGGGAAGGAATATATGGGGTAGAAATCAGACTGGTGAAGAAGGGTAAGGGAAATAGAGCAGAGGTAAAGTGAGGAAGCTGTTGTAGGACCTCAGCCAAGGAACTGGAGAGAGACCAAAACCTCTTCAATAGCACTAGAAATACAAACCTAATGAACTCTGTGCCATCACAGAAGATTTCCACTTTCTACCTACATGTTGGAGAAGTGCTGCTTCTAACAGCAGGGACCAGATGGTTCTGGATAAAAGAGTCAACACTTGTGTCATGCTTGGGTAGAAAGCAGGAACATGGATATTAAGGGAGAACAGGATGATTTCAGAACCCATAAGAGGGAAATTGTGTGTGAGTGATATTTTGAGATTATAGAGATTCTGGAACCATGTACTTCAAAGTTCTAAGGGGAGACAAAATTAAATATGTAATTACTGTGCTTGGGAATATTAACTATGAGAAAAGCTACATTTCATTTTGATTCAAATATTCACTACAATCCAAGTTGCCCAAAGCTTCCGGTTTCTTGACTCTCAAAGCTAATTTTCAGAGGAAGAAAAGTTTGTCAATACCACATAATAACCATAGAACAGTTTTATGGGTGAGCCATTTCTAAATATTGCAGTAAGAAAGGCCTGTGCCTTTCAAAAAAAAAATAAATATTGCTTTGCAGCTCTCAGGTCTCATTAACACAGTGTTTTTTGGTCAGTCCCCCCCCCAGCCATACCTGCTTTGCCTATCTGGACTGCCAGCTTGGTCAGCTTTCCCTGAAGGACAGATTTTTCTTTCTTGTGCATGTTGGATTTCTTCTTGTCCTTGTCATCTCCCTCTCCTCCTTCTGCACTCTTCAGTGGCTGCATCTCCATGGCAGCAGCCCCGTCCTGCTGCTTGGCTGACAATGGAGAACAAAACTGTTACTCCCGAGCTGGCCCTCGTTCTTTTTAGCTCAGTGTTCGTACTTACGGGGTTCAACCAGCAACATCTGCTGCAGGGGCTGCTTGGGACAGTGATTACCAGAATGACCTTTGACTCCCAGGTCAGGCAGGTGCCCTGTGGGACCCCTGGGGTACAAGCACATCCACGGCACAACCGGTCAAGGACCGGGAAACCCATTGGGTCGATCCGTTATTTTGGACACTCTTATGTTATACACATATATATCACTCCATGCCTTGCAAATGGCTTGGCAAGTCCCAGTGTGTCAGCACTGCAGGATTTCCTAGAATAGCAGAGCTCAGATGGTTTGTGTTGCTCTAAATTTTGGGGTGTCACAGAATGCAAGGCACCCTTACAGTCATACTTCCAATGAAAGCATTTTGAAGGTGATGTGGTTCCACAGCTGATCCGTGCTCCCTTCTCTGGGCTGCACAGGCACCTCAGTGACCAGGGGACCACACTCTGCAAACCACTATTCTAGATAATACCAGAATTATAAAGTTTCCTTGGCATTCCGTGCTCAAGTGACTTATCCATGGGGTCTGATGGTGCTGGAATCATCACTGTCCCACAAAAAGCACACAGCATTTCAGAGCTGAACCATCCTTTCTTGAAAGAATGCTAATACAAGGAAACTTTATTTTAGTATCATGTTTCTTAGAAGCAATGACATTGCAGTTTATATATGTGTATGTGTCTGTTTTGTACTGAACACAATAAACTAAATAGAATGAAATGAAATAGCTTTGCTTTGACATTCATGAAGAGATTGTACAAGACCATGCTTATTTGACCTGGAAATCTGATTTGTCTATCTAACCCCAGTGATTATTCATTTAATAGCATTATATTTGGTAGTTTTATACCATTAGCAACTGAATTTATCTATTTAGTTTCTGATCCATCACCTTTGCAATCTTTAGCATTATCTGAGAAGAGGAAGTTATCACTTAATTTGGTATAACTCAAAGAACTCATGATAGTTGTGTCTCATAGAATAAAAAAGGAACCATGACTTTGCTTCAGAGAAAGCAAAATATTTGTTTCAGTCTTCCTGAAATTGTATATTAAATAAGAAACTCCTAAGATTCTTATTCTTCCTGTTATTTATCCTTATGATTGCCTTTTACATTGTTCAGTAACCCTTGGGCTTTTAAGGTTTCCTTTTGTTATTGCTTTACCCTGTCCCTGCAAAAGAAAATATGTCCATATGATACCATTAAACACAGAAGATGATGAGACATAAAAAAATTGGGTTGGAAAATCACTAACAATACGTAGCATACATAACTTCCACAGGAAAAATTAATTCAAATGAGCTTCGTGAGATGAAAGTAACATCTACAAATGGCATCTTAAAAATACTGATGTCCTATCCTGAACGACTGATACATCAAACTTCTGAAAGTTACAATCTCTTTGGTAGGTTTTTTGTTGGGTTTGGTTGTTTAGGGTTTGTGTTTTAACATTCTCTTTGAACAAAAGGGCCATTTTCACACACAAGCACAAATCACAGGGTTTCACTTGACTTTTGAACAGAATTGAACTACATGCTAAAAATAAAATCCACAACCTCCTTAAAATGAAAGAAGATTACCTTTGTTCTGGCTGTTCTCCATATTCCCATCCTGCATTTTGCCTATATGATGAAAAATTTCAACAGACAACAGACAGTAAACAATCTTCACCCAAGACAGAACATGAAAATGGGAATTCAAATAAAATGGGCAGACAAAAGCCACGAACACATTCCAGGGACTTAGTCAGGATCCCTTGTTTCCATATGTTCACTTAGAAGCATGGCTAACTTAGCTGGGCACATCTAAGGAACCGCAGTCAAAGTTAGTGGTTTAACATGTTAAATACTAAATATTCAGCACATATTTCTGAGGAACTTGCATTATTCAAGAGCGTGAAACTAATAAAGAGAATCCAGTGGAAAGCTGAATTGGAATAATGTTCCTGAACTGATATTTCAGAGGGCTGGGAGTTAAAAAATTGGCAGGTATAATTGTGGTACACCAGCATAGAGTGTGACTTTCTTAATGTATTCTAGAATCAAATTCATTATTTTAGCAAACTGAGACAACAGAGAAATAGTAGTGTTAAGATATATAAAAATAAATAAAATTGTAAATCAGATATGATTTTAAAATTATATCTTCCTCAATTGGTTGTACTATTTAGCAAATTACTCCTGTAAATAGAAGTGCCAGGGGTTCATCCTATGTTCAGATTTATCCTAAAGAAAGATCTACCAAGTGCATCTGTAATTTCCAATTTAACATTTTAGCTACATACAGTTTTACTACACTAAAGTCCTTAGTCACTTGTTTCAGAATAACAACTAAAACTTTTCAAATGTATTCCAAATTTCTTGGTGGGATCCCTTATGAAACTTCCACAGTAATACATGAATTTATGGAAAAGACTATTCAAGTTTTACTAATATTAAAATCAGCATGGATGACGGTCTATTTTTGTGGTTATGTACAATGCACAATAAAAAATAATGCAAAGGAAAATTAGGTTAAAACACCTTTACAGGAGTGCTGTCACATTCTAGTAAGAAATGTATCATTAGAACTTATTAAAAAATGTGACAGCAGGTAGATCTTGCCCTTCTGACTTCCACATATATGAATTTTTTCACTCTCTGCCGGGAATAAATAGAAGCAAAATTGAATTTCTTGCACGTTTGTCTTTGCACTAAATGGGAGAGCACTAAAAACAGCCTTCTCACAAAAAGGTCCAAAGTGGTCAAATCAGTGGTAAATTTGCCACAAACAGGCCCCAGTGTCACACGGAGAAACTCCAAAGCCCAGAACTGCAGCCAGGGGAAGGGCATCTCGTGACCTTTGATCATCACTGAGGAAAGCATTTACCACCCACTGCTGGTCCATATTCCTGATTCTATCCCCACCTTGGCTAAAACATGACTTTTAAAACATCAGTATCTGTCTCCCAAAGCCTTATGCTTTGGCACAAGACGCGAGTCTGTGAACCTGAGCTAAACCAAGTTCCTTTGCACAGTGGAATTCCCGATAAAATCTTTCCATACAGTGCATGGTTGGATTTGGTACCTGCCTAGTGGCTATTTGACTTAGAAGGGGTTTTAATAAAGTTACTGGAAGACATAAAACATCTCTGGAGACTCTGATTTCTGGCTAGAGCATAAAGCCTTCCTTAGGAACTGGAAAATATTAATTTAGAGCAGACAGTCTGCTCCATGTCCTGTTCTGGAGCTCCACGTGCAGAGTCCAATTCAAAACCTTGAAGTATAATTGAAGAATCTTCAACTTTAAAAAAAAACCCAAACAAACCACCATCAAAACCCAAACATGACTTTCACAACTGGCAGAGCCAAAACAGAGGTTATTTTTCTATGTAAATCAAAGTATGTAACTTTGGGATATATATTTGCTATTTAAAAGGGTTGTCATAATTATCAATTGATGTAAAAACACCAGTAACAAAATAAACAATCATTAACAACAATGTAAACTTAGGTATTTAAAAAATATATTCTTAATATTCTTACCCTTCTGCATTTAGGTTGTTGAGGGATGGAGGGGAAAGTCACCACAGAGAATTATAGTTCAATTATTTGGACAGAATAACACAGAATAGGCCATTTGGGTAGTTATGATAAAGAAAAGAATGCTGTAAAGGATTTATTTCCTTCTGTTCCAAAGAATTTTAAGGCTACACTTTGCTATAAATTATGAACAAAGGGAGAAATTACGACAGAAATAGAGGTGATAGAATCACTACTGCTGAGAGATCCTTTCTCCTTTCAGGCAGTGCCAGGACCAGAAATGCTCCCCCTTTTTGGAGGTGGTTTAGAAACATTTAAAATATTTAGTATTTATTAATATTTTAATAATATTATGTGGAAAACATCTTCAAAAATAGAATATATTTTTACATAATTCTGCAAATCTTTCCTCCTTTTCCTTTTGAATAATAAGTGAAATGAACAGTGTTTGGGTTGGAGAAATCTGAGTTTATTTTTATCACTTTTCTAAGCAAGGATCAAAAATCAGAATATTTGGAATGGAATTTAGAGCCTCCTAATATAACACGTATTCTGCAGTTGCTTTGAAGGTTTTGAGTTTGAATATGAAATGTTATGCACGTTGTCTTTGCCTTACTACAATTTCTGGCTTTTGGAAAGAACTCACGGCATCATTACTGCCTAAGTTTTTACTTCCAAAGAAAAGACTCCCCTTTACCTACCTCAGCTCTTCATGAAGAGCCAATGGGACAAAATAACAAAGACCTATTGCTGGCATCAGAAATTGTTTGTAACTTGGAAGAACTGCTCGGAATAAACCAAAGAAAAGAACGGAGTTATGTTCTCGTGCTGTGATGGAACAAAAAAATATAAAATACTACCGTGATTTTCCAAAATGTCTCATCTTGCAAGAAAATGAGTTAGAACCCTCGCTGTGCCGAGCCAGTTATACTCTGCAGCAAGGAAAAACAGGCACATGCTGCAAATATAGATAGGGGGGCAGAGGGACATCAAACGAGTCTGACGTGGATCACCAGGAATTTTTCCACGCAGTGGGATGGCAGAGCCAAAGTATTGGTAAAACACAGGTTCATTACAAAAGAATAAGTCTAATTCCACTCTTTCAAATAGAAAATGTTAGCTAATTCTTCTCTGCACTCACTAAATAACTTCACTTAAAATTTCAGGAAATATTCTAAAATACGTGAAAACTGCAAATTGCTTTGCAGGAACTGAGTAGTTCAGTGCATACACGGGGATTTACAGGAGACACAAAATATTTCAGCTGAGACATTTCTCTGTGTATGGCATGGTATTTCTATACCATTTCTCTGTTTTCTGAATACATATTTAAGGTAGAAAATTCCTTGAAATACAAATACCAAAAAAACCCAAACAACCCACCACGGAAATCCTGATTTAGGAAGGTGGCTGTGCTCGACTGGAAGGAAAACAAATTTGGGGCAATTTGCTCTACTGGAAGGAAATCAAATTTGGGATAAACAAGCTGTAAACAATCATTGCTGCTTCCCAGATTTTCATTTTTTAAAATTACATTTACTAAATATAATATTCTAAAATTAGGTGACTTTTCCTGAATTACTACCTTTCTGCAAAATTTTCTGCTCTGCTTATAACCTAAACTTGTAACCCTTTAAAAACTGAACATATTGTTCATAGTTTTACCATAGTTTTAACAAAGAGACCAACAACAATTTTGATATATTTTGATCTCAGCTCCTAGAACAAAACAGAATTTATAACAGTTCCTTCAATACATGGGCTGTGTCACAAACTATATGAATTTATCACTATAGGCTCACTGATTGAAAACAAAACACTTTTTGTGTCAATTGTCTATTGACAACTAAGAATAAAAATATTTTATCTGCAATGGTAATGGACTGATTTTCAAGTAACAAACATTTCCTGAGCTTGATACTTATTCAAATATATAATTCTGCTTTTCTTATTTGATGGTATTTTCTACACAAAGGCATTAGACTTTAGGTAAAATGGTACAGTAGCTGATATGGGTCTGGTTTTTTTGGATTTGTGGATGAGTTTCATCACACCTCAACCATGTTGATTATAGATGTGCAGAATTAATTGAACTGCCTCATCTCACAAGCCAAAACAAATCAGCTGCACAAAAAAATTGCCTTCTACCCTTTGTGCACTGAAAAGCAGCGAGGATGCATCTCTCGACTCCAAGATAAACAGGGACAGTAACCATTGTTTCTGATGGGAGAGAGGATAGGAAATCACATACTTCAGACACTGATTTAATATCCCTTGGAACTCAATTTCCTTATTAGGTTCAAGGCATTAAGACCAAACACAACAGGTATTTACCAGGCAACTGGGTTAGAACAGGGTTCATCCTGTACCTCCTGAGCACTGGTTCTCCTCCAGCAAAGCACTTCAGAGGGGCTTCACTCAGTGCTCTGCAGGACTGAGCAGAAACACAGCAGGATCCAATGGAAATGAGGGAGGGAAGACTCTCTATGTGTATGTTTGTTCTACACTCGTAAGTAAAATTATCCTAAAACCATCATAGAATAACAGAATGGGTTGGGTTGGAAGGGACCTTAAAGCCCATCTCGTCCCACCCCTTGCCATGGGCAGGGACACCTCCCACTATCCCAGGTTGCTCCAAGCCCCGTCCAACCTGGCCTTGGACATTTCCAGGGATGGAGCAGCCACAGCTTCTCTGGGCAACCTGTGCCAGGGCCTCCCCACCCTCACATTAATGAAGAATGAAACACTCATCATTAATTTCCCGGTTCTTGGACCCTGAGGAATCTGGAACCAGGATGATGGAGATTTCTGTCATGTAATGAGATGTAGGAACTGTAAATCCTAATTTTCCACATTGTGCAGGAGTAGAGTTTTAAATCTGGTTGTATGTTTCTTTTAAATTATAGTAAAAATATTTAAAAATAGGTTCAAATGTTTCCTGTGTAATTGCTTTAAATAAGACACTGCACTAGTACATCTTAGTCATTGTTTAGCAGTTGGTATTTCTGTTAAAAACTCTCATTTATGTGCATTATGCAATGACTGCTGACCTGCACGGAAAAAAAAATTCCATCACAAACATGATGAAAAGTAGAGTTACTTTTGTCAGTATTTTTGGCTCTGCACAAGAGGGAAAGGTTTCTATGGCAAATAAAGACTCATGTATCTGATTAGCAGAAAAATACAGCTGATGCCTAGATTAATATTGACCCATTAAATTCAATTTAATAGTGGAATTAGACTATTAGGAGATACTGAAATATCTGCATGCGAAGTGGGGTGAAGAACCTGTACTAAGAGACAGTCAAAATGGACTACAGTGATATTTTAGTTTGGTTTAAGTAAATACAGGCAGGCTTAGTAGGATATCTCTGAGGGCATACCCAAACATCCAAACTTCTCAGTTGCTTGTGGAACAGATGCTCAAAGCAGCAAAAGTTGTTCCTAACACAGTGTTAGTTGGAATTTAGCCAGATTCCTGATCCCAGCACTGTTCCTCAGAGCTGCTTGGAGACTATATGATTACTTGTGAGAGTGCCACACCAGAGGAAAAGCGGCTATAATGCATTTATCACGGTGTTCCTCTTCAGATCTATGCTGAGAAACGAGTAAAGGGCTTCACAATGAAAATTCACGTGAATCTACTCAAAAGTTTTGAAGCCAGTCTTGCATAACTGCACCTTTTATTGCAGTTTTAACTAATGGCAAATAGACCACAACTCTTACTTCTTCCTCTGCCGCACTCGATCTGGTGGGAATCAAGTTGGGGCATCTCAGTGGCATCTCTGATAAGCTACTACAGAATTTAGGGAGCAGGATCTCTCAGAGGGGAATCAGAGGCACACACAACATCTGTTGAGGCTGTGAGGGAAGGGGGAATGTGACACAGTCAGGAGAGAAATCTCTCAAATCAGACACGCCGGGGGTAGTGACGTACCATTGACTAAGCTGGCATTTGCATTATCAGTGGCATTTGCACCTGCTGCACCATCTGTGGCTGAAGGAGGGTGGGAGGAGGGATGGGAAGAATCTACTGAGCAATAATGGATTAAAAAAAACAAAAACAAAAAACAACACAACAATAAATAATAAATAATAACAACAACATGAACAAACGTTCACGCGGAACAAAAAAAAAAACATCCACGGCATTTTTTTTTCTCCAAAATCAAACAGTTTTAAATTAAATTAACATAGATTTCAAAAGCAAAATAGCGTTGTAAAGGTGTTACAAAAGTAAGGTAAAAACTCAAACATGAAATAATAACAATAAGAATAATAAATAAATAAGAAACACTTAACAAAGTAAAAGTTGATGATAACTGACTACACAGTAGTGTAGTTGTGTAGTTGCTTTAGTCCTTTTATGTGTTATTTTTTGTATTTTAGCACAACGTTATGCAAACACTAAAATGGTTGAAACGTTTCCTTTTGAGTTAATTTACACAATACATGGGTAGCTTTAAAATAGCCATTTAAAATATTCATTGTGTCTATATATGGACATACTACTACATAGTACTTAACATTACATATTTTATGTTTTATACAATGCTGCACATTATGATGTATCATGACATACATTCCAGTCTAACATGTGCTCAGTCTATGACCTGCCATCACCTGGTTAATATGCACATTGATCTGAGTAGAAATGTTAAATTTTCTTGTCTTTTATATGGAAATGGCAAACATAGCCCTGAGGAGAATAATGAGTTGTTTTAAATGCAAAGAATGGATGTCACATATTTCCTGGTTTGTGGTGAAACGAAAAAAGTATTAGAAAACGAACACTTTTTGTTTTCTGTAATTATCCACATATTAGAGGAATTGGTCAAGAAATATTTCCTAACAGGAAAGTGAAAAACTAGAGGAATATTTTATCATTTTATTATGTTTTTTATACCAGAGTTGGGAAAATTAGCCTCTACAAATAACGGATAAAACTAATTTTGTTTTGTTTCTGTTGGTAAATTGCTCACAATAGAACACAAGTCCTACAATGAATCCTGACTGAGACTCTCAAACTTCTTCAGCACTTGCCCCACAGGGACTGTTTGACACCGTACTGGGCTGTTATTCCAGAAAAATGGTCTGATTTTATTTACAAACGACAAATTGGGAGGAGAAAATAAACAGCACAGAGGATTTAAAAACACACCCTGGGTAAGTGCATTCAGGAGCATTTCAATTGCAAATTTGATTACTGTGATGCCAACGACTTCAACTGGTCTTGTTGCTGGGGCTTGTTTTTCATTCCATTTGGATGCCCACACTAACCAGCACAGCATGAACTGCTCACAGCAAATCATGGACTCCAACATTTAATACTTTGTAATTTACTTCTGGAGAATGGCTGATTATTCAAACTCAGCATTAAGATTTGCAACACCAGCGATGCGTGCGCACTAAAATGATTTGCCACCGACAATCCTGTTGATTTGAAATCACTCTTTAATTTTAAACTTGACTGATTCGAAGACAATTATTTCAATCAGTGGTTCACCCCTGATTTGCACCAAAGCTCACTGGTTAAAAGCCTCAGCCTTCTGTTTGACATGGTACAATTCTTACCCTACCTGGCAGCTGCTGTCCGTCCTCCTGTTTCCCACCTGAATGATGATTTTTACACAATGTTAATGAACAATAAAAGCACACACCCCACACAGAGTAAAACAAGCATTTGTGACTGGCAGGATTTCAGAGAATTGTAGGTTTCTGTTATTTGAGTTTGGGTCTCCATACACAACCAGCTCTGCACGAGCACAAAGCTGCCAGCAGCACCAGAAAACGTGGAGGGATTTTCTGTATTATGTATTTTCTATACTAGATTCAGTGTCTGCATCCAAAGTTCCAACACGTCTCTGTAAAAATCTCTGTCCCTGGGTTGTGAGTTATGACTATACTGTGTTACTCTGCCACCCCTGATTTCTTTTTCCCTGTTTTTCCAGGCTATCCACAATGAAACCTGAGGGAACCACCAGTGTCCTGAGCAAAGTAACATCCAGAGTCCAGCCCAGTTAAACCAAGGAGCTCAGTTGCCATCATCAGACAGGGACTGAAGCTGCTCCTTCTCACCTACAGTGTCCCCAGACACCACCAGAGCAGAGGCTGCCAGATCTCAAAAGGTATGGAAGCCTCTCTCCTACAGCAAGAACAAACTCTAAGATACTGTTCAAAACTAGCCTGACTTAAAAGACTTTTACTTTCAGTCTCTCTAATTTTCCTAGAACTCCCCGTGTCTTGCAGGAATTGGGCATTTCTGTGCAGAAATGAAATGGTAAACGTTTCACAGGGTCTTTGGTTAAGTAAAAAGGGATTTCCTCAGAGCAACAGGGAGCCAATGGCAACCCCTTGTTGAATATATTCAGAAATGGAAGCTATAGGCCATGAAAACCATATGAATTTGGCTTTCCTATCTATATTCCTATCTACTCTCCTACCTATATATCCTATTCTACTATACCAAGTAGAATGTTCAGAAAAGCTATGACTGTTTCTTTTTATTAATGGGGAGACCCACTAGAAAGAGCAGAAATATCTAAAAACCCCATATTCATTGGCCCTTAATTCTGTCTGAAAGGTAAATATTCCCAGGACGGACTTGGAATGAAATTCTGAAAGCAGAACAATTTACATGACTGTGAACAAAAACTGGAAAGGACAGACATTAAACCATGTTTCTGTTTAGTGTGCAACCCATAAATTAGCAGTAGATTATGACATCACACTATAATAAGGTGAAAAGTCTAAAGAGGCTCCTTGATTTCATTAACTGATGAAAGTTAAACTGTCTGCTAACATTTACTGCTACATTCTGGTCTTTTACTATTCTTAGCTTGATCTTTACACCTTAAGAAATTAAAATGCCTCTAAAGTCAGTCACTCACATTAAACAGCTGGGCTAGCAAAAAACCACATCTTATCTTTATTTTATTTTTGAAGCTCTAAGCAGCTATTTCCATGGCCAAGAGGGCTTGTTCTTTTTTCCTGAAAAATAAAAGTTACATAGATATAAATGCACAAGAGCCAAACCCTAGCAAACTGCAGGTGAGCATGGATTCATGTAGAGAAGCCATGGCCAAGGGAGCATGCCCATGGATCCCCCTGGATTTAATTATGTCCTGGGAGTTTGCAATTTCACACTGGAAAAACACCTTGTTATCCAATGTATTTATTGGTTAACAGCTTCTGCCGTTTTTCTGTGTGACATGTGATGGTAAAAACGTGTCCAAAAAGAAAAAAGAAAAGAAAGGAAATTTTAAAAATCATAATTATTTGTCAAGAACGGAGGAGAGCTCTGGCTGCACAAAGGCCAAGAGCTTTCTTAGGAGCATCCTTATGTGTCGTGGAATTTACCTTTCTTGTCTTTCTTTTCCTCCTCTTCCCCTCCAGCACCCAGCAGAGTGAAGATGATGCCAGTTTGAGAATTCACCCCCACAGCAGTTACCAGCATTCTTCCAGAACCTTCCATGACATGGGTACCTGAAAACATACATTATAAGTTACATACAACTTCAAGAAAATAAAATTAGGCAAGACATCTATTATAGTACCAAGAGCTATTTGTTACACTTTAAAAATCTGTCCTGAGGGAATTATAACTACCTAACTAAAACAATCTCTGTTGTATATTACTCTCAAGCAAGAATTAGTGTGCTTTAGGCCTCACCTCCATGAACCAAACACATCAGATTCCCTTTTTAAAAGAAATGTCAGTAATCAAGTTTACCTCCTGGAACATAATAGTTTAGCTTCACACAGTTAATTCTTGTTAACTTTGGAAATCTTTTTCCAGAGTTCTGCAAACGTCCCTCAGGGACTCCAGTCAAGATTACAGTGCCTGTACAGTTACATGAACAAAACAAAAATATGTGCAATTTCTCTCATCTTTCTCAGTTATGGTTGACTTTCAGGCACAGGAAAAAGTAGTTTTGAAGACAATTTTACGGCTTGAAGCTTGAGAAATCAACACAGCAAAAAATATTTAAGGAGATACTGAATTAAATCAGGAGATTCCCAAATAGCAAGGAGAATACTGAAAACAAATTCAGTATGAGATATTTCTATTGGTCTAAATCAAATTGACAGGGACATTGAGTTTTTCTGTTTAACTAGGTAATGTTAAGTAAATTCCTTATGAGTAATATTTTTTGCTTTATTTTATATAAATTATTTATAGCTTTTATTGGTATATTGACTCAAATGTTAGATGCAGCTAAGATAAGGAAAACCTCTTAAAAACCTTTAGCTATGGGTTGTGGAAACACACCGAAACAGAAATTTCTGATCCAAAAAATTTTGATTTACACTTTGGAAAAATTTTATAACAGAGATTTGCAAAAGGTCAGTCAATGCAATTGAACACTGGCTATTTCTGAAAAAAAAAAAAAAAATAAAAATTGTGAAATGGAAGAACCTGTTGTTATCACATGTATTTAAGGCCAGTTACTAAAAGCTCAGTAAAAAAACCTGTCACTGTGTCACAGGTACAAATACACCAAGGATGGCATCAAAAAGTGACAGAAAAGTCATTATTGAAGTAATATTCGAATATTTCAAGTGACATGTCCTTAGCAGGCAGTGAATTTTAAAAGATATAAAGCTGATCTGTAGTGCTCCTATGAAACAGGTGAAAAAAATATATATAATGACCAGAAACCTCTGACAGATGAAGCTATTAATTGAAATAGACTTTATATTTTATTCTTTATTAGTAGAAAATTATGTCTGTTCAGTGTAAGGCACTGTGAGAGCACAGAGAAAAAGCAATAATTTTCAGAGCAAACTAGGAGTGAATATTTACTGGGCTTGGGCATTTTTTTAAATACTCTTTCCTGTATTTGAAGAAATAGTTTGGAAACTAAAAAAATAGAGTGTAACACACAAACCGTAAGCCTTGAGAAGAAAATCAAGTACTGCTTGCTGGGTTTTGACTTATTGCTCCTTAGATCCTCACCTCACTCAAAAGAATACAATTAATTTCTCATTTAGAATCCCTTCAGGCATTCAGATCTACTAAAGCCATAGAAAGACCTTTTTTCTCCCCCTTTTTTTAAAAAAAATACTGAGTTCATTCTCATCTGTACAAATTTATTGATTTATCTCAAAAGCTGAAAAAGGGAAGGATATATGGATGTGTCCTTAAACAGATCAATGTTTTACATATGTATACACACACACTTGCAACACATTTTTTTTTAAAATTCCATTTTTTTAGTAGTGGTCAATAAGTTGCTGTGCTAGAACATATAGTAAGCAATGTAACTATCTATTTATAATCAAAATAGCTTTCTCTAAATAATCAAAATCTCCCATGTTCTTAAAAGGAGAACAGAAACACAGATTAGAGAGAACATCTGTCAACACTGAGCCTAATTTGAGAGCACAAATATCTCATCAGAACACTAAGAAAATTTCAGCAGTAATAAGCCAAATAAAAACAAAAATGCACTAATGGCCAGATGTATTTAAACAAAACAACAACAACAACAACAAAAGCATCAGATCTCTTCAGTGCACTGAGAACTGTTCCCATGACTTTCTGAGATAAAATTTGATTCCTTAAGAAGTCTTTTGTTTTCAGCAAAACATAATAAACATACAAATTAGCACTGCCACACAAAAAAAAAAAACATAAACCAAGCTCGATTCAAGCCTAAAGGAACAGAAAAGATCTTTAAAATCCAGCCCAGCCTTGGTTGTACCGGTTCAGTCGGAACAGAAAATCTCTGAAACTTCACTCAGAAATTCAGAGGAACCTCCTTTAGGATGTGTCACTATTTAAAATACATTTTAATTAAGAGCTTGCTGGTTGTATTGCTCTGTTTTGTTCTAAGGAATATTCTCCTGTATTGGACTGAAAAGGTGGGCAGAAATATCCTCCAAAAATGTCACACACCCCCCTGATGGATATCCTCTGATATAATTCAGTTGCTGGGTTTACCTTGTGTCACCCCTAAAAAAAACCCGACTCTTTACCTTTTTTAATATAATGGTGTCTTTTCTGTCTTTTATTTCCCATTTTGGAACCATATTCTTTGTTGTCTCAGCATATAACATATGCCATAAAACCAGCTTTATTAGGAAAACACGCACCCACATTTCAAAGGTGCATTACCTATGCACTCCTGGAAAAGGCAAAAATGCCCTCACAGAAATGCCTTTCTGAACCTTTTCTTAATGTTCAGGTTTGCAAAAGTGCCGAGGTGCACAGGGAAGCTTGTTTTAGAGCAGGTATTAATTTATCACCAGATTATGCTCCACGAGTACTATTGAAAAATTCTTCACCACCTGAGCTGAAGCAAAGAGCTGAACCTCCTTCCACCTGACTGGCAATTTCACCACTTAAATGGCATTATAATGACATTAATTTGGATGCACAATTAGGCTCGGTGACTTCAATCAGCTATTGTTATACAAATGGAACTCTGGAATGGCTGCATGTTTTTCACTTATCTGTACAATAAGCTTGTATTTCAACTTCTTGTTGACCTATTCTACTGACTTCTTTCCCTCTCAAGACTCCATGGTAGTAAAATACATTCTTTAACATGCAGAGTACTTAATTCAAAGTTGATAAGTGGTGAACATTCCAAGATGGAAAAAGATAACTGGTTTAGCCAGGGAGGAGAGAAACAGATCAGATGGATCAGGAACCTATTGCAGCAAATATTTTTCAGACAAAAATCCAACTAAACATAAGACTCAGAAATTCCCAAATCTAATAATAGTACTGGTGTAATAGATTGGAAAGAGGGTTGAAAAAAAAAAAAAAACAACAAGAAAAGCAAAGCAGAACATGCCAGTTTGTGAGTTTGATACTGTTTTGCTACTTCCAGCAAACTTTTGGGGAACAAAAATTCTCTATGGGCATCCAAACAACTGGTTCAGTCACTGCAATTACTAAGTGGCAACTGAAGTTAATAATAAAGTGAACCAACCATCAGAATATCCTCTATGAAAAAAAGGAGTTTTCCAGGAAAAATAAAATTCTCATCTACAAATAATTTAATATATCCAAACAATTCAGAACTTTTTAAGTTAGGTGCTTGGTTCTGAAATTCTGCTCGGAATATTTTCTGGGTTTTCTGGTAGGGAATTAAGACTGAATCAGAACTATTTTGTTCCAGGCAATATCTGGCCCAATTCCTTAATTAAGCTTCCTTTTTATTTCCAAGACCTAACAAAGCACCACGACCAAGAGATATCTTTGGTTTATTTGTTCTTGATTAAGCTCTGTTTCCTTTCTTTCAAATCCTTGTTGCACATTGATGGAACCAGACAGTGCTAAAAGTTCAGTCAGGGTGAAGTAAATGTTCTGCCAGCCTCAGTTGAGCAGAACTACACTAGGTGAGCTCCTTTATCCACCTCCTTCATACCTTCATCAAATTAATCTAAATAACTGGGAGAAAAAGGTGTAAGAAGTAAGCCTCCTAAGGTATTTTTAATGTTAATTAATAGAATAAGTGGTACCCCAGAACACTGCAGTGGGTGCAATACTGAGACTCCCACTGAAAACTTATTTAGGACTCATGGATTTCTGCAAGTTTTGAACTGTACCAAACTTAAAGGCCACATCAGGCTCAAGATGAGCAGCAGTTTGGTTCCCAAGCTGCCTTCACCTCTTGGTTGATACATGTCCACACTCACCGTGGAGAAGGAACGTTACCACAGTCTCATTTAAGCTAAAGATGTTGTGGCTTGTGCTGCACCCTGCATGCAAATCCCTGCTAATGAACTAAAAGAAGGGAAATATTCCAGCCAGAAGTGCAGTGGAACTATAGAAGAGAAGCTGCTTCTTTTGGTTCCAGGTACATCAGGGCCTTTATTGGCATTTCTGCCCTCCTGGGTGGTGCCCCGTGTGCCACGGACAGATGGAAATGAACCATCTGGTTTAGGCAGCACTTGTACTCTTAGAATTGCTTCCCAAGTACAGCAAACAACTATCTGAATGATTAAACAGGACATTAAGCACAGAAACTCATTTAGTTTAATTATGTCATTGAAGCTGATTGAGTATTAAAAACACTCTTTCAGGTGCCAATGGTGAAAATAATACTTCCCAATTCTGGGTGTTTGTCTTCCACTAAATTTAGACTCACAAAACAAACTGTGGCTGTAATTCAAGTGTTTCCTGTCAAACCTCAACTGTTTTCATTTCCAGCACACGATTATAGGGAGAAAAATGGCAAGTAACATCCCGACAATATTTGTCTTAATTCCAAAAGTCTGCCCGCAGATAACTTATTGATGTCTTCAGGTGCAAAGAGGGAAATATAAGGTGTGTCTTTGATGCTTTGGCAGGGGGTTGGTTTGGGGATTTTTCTTTAAACAAGTTTTATAAAAATACAGGTCTAGATCAGCATTACATGGGAAATCAATTTTTAAACCAGGTCAAACCCACCCTAAAAGACATGGTGGTTTCCAAGGTTTTGGATGAGTAACAACATCCAGTGCATCAGCACTGGGATTAAATCCTGCACTGTGTCTATGGAAGAAGGCAATTTCTTTCATGACAGAATCTCAAATCATCAATTGTGTTCCTAAGCAAATAAGAGTCCAGGGATTTTCTAACATGGCAGGAGTCAAAATTTATTAGGGTAAGTAGGGAACAAAAGTGTGTGCAGTGTTAAGTAAAACATCACATTAATTCTACACCTCCTCCATAATCACATAAGAAAAATAAAGTGTAAAAAATTTAACTGCATTAAACACATAATAACAAATTTCTCTCCTTATAGCAAAGAAACTGGAGTATTTGAAAAGGACTTTTTCAGTTTATAACACATTGATGATTGTTACATATCTGCAGGCTGTCATTTTGTGATCACATCCCAGCTGGAGTTCACTGAAAAATGACCTATTAGTACAAAAAAATTATGTTGTTTAACTGATTTACTGTATAGAATTATATTTCAAAATACAAACATTAAAAAATAACTAGAATTTATCACAGGAGTGAAGCTCAAAATGGTTTAGTATATCCAGTTGCTTCCAAAAGCATTGTATCTTTTTCTATTTTACCTACTATACACAAGAAGTGTTTAAAGGCTTTGAAATTAAATGGTTAAATTAAAACTAACGTACAATGAATTAAAACACTTTTTATTTCCCTACTTGATACTTTCCTTTTCCTCTGAAAAAAGTTTCCTTACTCTCTGCCTTTACAAGTACCGTGATCAGAAATAATTGCACTCCATCAAGAAACAACAACATCATTTAAATGACAAACAGACAAGTCTGTGATCAAAACATCCGTTGTGTCTGGGTTACCGAAACCTCGTGGCATGGAAAATGAAGACAAAACAAAACATGGACAAAGCAGAGCACGCAAGATAACTCAGCAGTGATTTACCTGACAGCAGCATTGGGTCTTTGTCAACAGATTTGCGGACCTGGTCTGACTCTCCAGTCAAGGAGCTTTCATCGATTTTAAGATCATTTCCTTGAATAAATATCCCATCAGCAGGTAGGAGATCACCTTTGGGTAAGAGCATGGTAATGGAAAACCACTGTGCATTAGTAAGATTGTTTTTATAATTACATAAGTATTTTAATTATGAAAGAGCGATTAACAGCAACTGAATTAAAATTAAAGCAAAAGTGAAGGAATTGCTACTGTTTCTGTCCATATTAGCCATAGTACTGCAATGCTGTAGGGAAGAACGTTTGTATTTCAAGTATTTTTTGCTTAGTTCTATCTGAGAATCAGGATGCCTCATATTTAGCCTAGGATGAACATCCTAATCACTGGGGTTTGGCAGGAGCAGTGCTCTTCATGACAAGGTTTCTCTGTCAGACTTCATAGGAATTAACAGTGGCTAATAAACAGTCAAGCTGCCCTTTCCCTTTCCCTTTCCCCTCTCAGGAAGCCCTTAAATAAGTCAAGGAGAAACTTGATGGCTGACAGAACTGGCATTTTGCTGGAAAATACCATGTCACACAAACACAGAGTACACAGAGTTCCTGCAAGAGTCTTCCACTTCCCTGGAGCACAGGGCATTCCCTATGACATGTAATTATCAGGCATCTGATCTGGGGGAACTTACAGGATCCATCTGGATCTGGAGCAGCTTATTAAGTGAGGTGAGCACAGAGGCTCAGTTCCCTTTTTACAGAGCATTTCAAAAAACTTCCTCTTCTTCCTAACTGAATAAAACCCAAACATTTCAAGCAGTGTAAAATCCTTCATGAAAGAGAACTACCTTTGTATGACCAGTTCTTGTCCTGGCCAGTAAAAAGTGAAGATTACAACAACAAAACTGGTTTCCTACTCCAATTTTACAGCAGGTATATCAGGTTTTCCTTTCGCCCTAACAGCCAAATGTTACCTTGCCATGCAAATGTTGACATCCCATAACCCTGTCTTTTAAATCACTTCCCGTGAAGTGTGTCTGTCCTGCTGGAAAGGGAAAGGAGAAGATATAAAGCCCATAAAGGCAAACAGCCAGTTGATAGAACTTACCATATTTCACCTGTGCAATGTCCCCAACTACTATCTCTGCCACTGGGATTTGGATAACCTGTCCCCCTCGGACAACAGTAAACTTCTGTTCCTGCTCAATGCGACTTTGGAGCCCACGGAACTGCTTCTCCTTGCTCCAGTCATTGAAGGCAGTGACAAGGACAACACAGATAACGGAGAGGAGGATGGCAGCACCTTCAATCCAGCCAGCTTCAGCCTCACCTTCATCTTCAGCTCCTCCTGTTGCAGTACCACACCCTGCAAAGACAACGCTGAGGATCAGTTCAGGGAAGGGCGGGTTCATCCCAAGGAAAACTTGCTGGGAAACGACAACAAGGTTAAGGAATGGAACCCCTTTTTCCAGGTACTAATGAAATATGGCAGGATGGAGAGAAAGCACAGATAGAGATGTCTGTGGAAAAGAGAAGGAAATCAACAGACATTTTAGCTCTTTTAACTTTTCTGCTGAACAACCCAAACTAAACCAATGGGAAAAGAAAGCAGCAATTCTGCTGTCTGATAGAAGGGTTGATGGCTCCACGTGAGCCATGAAGCATCTGCAGAAATAAGGATGATTTACTGAAAGGAGCAAGAAGGATTATACAATGAAAGATATTAATCAATGCAAAGCAATGGCATTAAATTAACATTAACCCCTCCTCACCCTAATTAAATTAAAAAGGATTCAACAAATAATTTTCAGCACAATTTCTAAATGTTCTCAACTAAACACAGTTGTAAGGAACACTTGTTAAAAAAATACTGAGATGAACTAAGTATATTAGTATTATATATTAGTATTAGTATATGTAAGTATTTCAGTGTATTAGGGAACACTGGGTAAAAATAATGGCCTAATATAAATTCATCAATCTTGCTTACAGAAGAAGATTCCAGATATTCCAGAGAAATAATGGCATACTTATAGAACTGCAAGTACATTATTTCTGTCACAAGTAAAACAGTATTAAAAAATACACTCTATGTATTCTAAACTGTTAATTCTGAATTACTTTATACACATCTGCTAATTATTTATTCCCGATATGCAATTAAAATTTAAATAGACTGCCTAAATAGTATCCACAAAATAAAGCTGACATAGCTCTCCTTCTTAATGACAGAAGGCATAAAAGAAATACTGGACTAAAATCACTCAATCCAGAGATATCCCAACTGATGGAGAGAGGAGATCTCAGCCTGAACAGCAGAGACTCCCACCCTGAGGGACCAAGGGAGAAATCTCATTTTTCAGGAAGGTGGACATTTGCCCTCCCTTTTCCACCTTCCCTAAGTACCAGGGAGTTTAGTACCTTAGCAACCGTGTCACTTCCACCCATGACTAAGGTTTAATTTCAGTGTATTTGTCACCTGTCGCTAGAGGGAATTAACAAGCAATTTGTATTTCTATTTTTAAGTTACAAAGACTTCCCGCTAACAAAAGCATCATAATTCATTAACCAGCTGAGTAATTACACTTGGGTATGAACAACAACAAAATTACCACAAGTCAGAGGAAGAAAGATGAGACTGAAATGCCTGGCAGAAAATGAAAATAAATGGAGTTTTTGGCAAAGTTCTCTGCAGTTTGCATTTCGACTTCACCTGAGTGAAAGGCAAAGCCCACTCCCAAGAGCAGAGGCTCTACTAGCAGGGATGCCCTTGGACTGATGACTCACATGGAGTACAAGAACCTCGCTAAAGAAACCATTTTTATAGCACTCAAGAAAGAAATTAAGTAACATTTTGTAAATTCAGCACCTTAAGCTACTTAACACTAGTGGCAAATGCAACTTAAAAATCAAATCTGCAATTTCCTCCTTCAGCAGAATGTTACTTTTGGGAAGCACTAATCAACTTTGCTCTGTTCAACATTAATCATCTTCACTGGTCTGTTAGATTTTAAATTCCTTTTCTGAACCAGTGGTTTCACTTTTGACTTATTTGTGTTACGTGCTTTCCTAGTACAAGCAATAACATCAGAATTCACTATCAATATTTTCCATTCAATATGATTTACAATTAAGTATTACAAATGTTCTGTCTTTTAAGAGCATACTTCCTCTTCTCTTTCTCACAAAAGAAACGTGGCCTGGTCCAGCCACAGTCAAAGACTGACTTTATTTCCTTTTCAGATGGTTAAAATTTAGTCCAGCTTGTAGTAAAGTGCAAAGAGATGTTGTTTCTCCTGGTGATCCCTTGGTCCAGGTTGACTGACACCAGTTTCATGCAGACTGGCCAATAAAGGTGATGTTGAGCATTTCCACTGGGGGTTATTTATTTACTTTATTCTGTAGCAGACTTTCCACTGAAAGGCCTTGATTTCTACACATGGATTACTGATAATTTATGCTGTGGTATTTTCTACAAAATCAAGAACTTATGTAATATTTACACAAGTTTTAATTTGAGCTGAGTCAGCACACACCCCCAAAAAATCAGCCATCTGAAAGACACAAGCTGTGCTTTGTCCTTTGTTATAAGAATCCTATTCTGGCTCTGGACATGTGTAAACTTTACAGTAATATTAGCTGAGTGGAATATCTCTACAGCAAAAAGCTACTAATTTTGAGAAAGGAACTGTTATTATTCCAAAGAACCAATATTCCTGGTCCCTGCATATGAAATGTGTCAGAAAAACAAAATAACAGTGCACTTGAACCCTGGGCTAACACACTGCACCTGGAAAGGCTTAGAAAAGAATATTTCCAAGCCCCTTCAGGAAAAAAAAAAAACAAAACTGATTTAACAAAACCAAGTAAAAAATAAAAGTATTCATTGATTTGAGCAACAAAGTCAACTTTGTGTTTGTGTATTGTCAGAACTGATCTCCATGTCAACACAAATAGTATCACAAAGCATGCAAATAATACAAGATGTTACCATTAAGATGAAAGGAATCGTGTTTACCCGTAGATACCTCGTAGATTATGCACAAGCAAAGAACATAATTCACCCTTCAGCTGAAAAAGTTTATTTTATTACAGCTGGAAAAATGTTTGTTAAGAATGGAAGAAAATCTGAAGAAAACAAACTGAACTGAGGTCAATCTCTTGGAAACAGCCCCTAAATTTGATGAGCTTCCACGCTGATCAATAATTTATGATTATAAATTCTAAAATCCTAAAAAAATTCTCTATAATCCAATAAAAAAAAAAAACCTTTAATGCCTTTTATTTGTTTTCTGTTCATTCAATCCGACAATGATAAATTCAGGTGGAGCAGAGGTATTTGAAGGGGAGGAAGAAATTGAGAAGTGAGAGCCAGCAGAGCCCAGCGCTTCCTTCTCAGCACATTTTGGGTTTAGAGGAAGCAGAATTTCAGCCACGTGAGGAATTTGAATACAAAGGACCAGATACCTCCCAATTCAAGCAGCAGCTGAGCAAGACTTTGGAGTATCAAAGATTTGTAACAATAATTCAAAAATGAAACTGCTCTTTTTGTAGCTCTGGCCTAATAGAACTAAAACCAGGTTCTCCAAATGATTCACCAAGTTGATCATCAGACTTTCCCAAAATTTTCCCTTTTTACAGTCCTACAGAAATGACTGGATAAAAATACCAGGTAAATTAATGCACATTGTTCTTGCTACAGGAACAAACTCTACAATAGCAAAGTTTCAGAATGGATTCTTTTCAGAACATAAATTTACCAACAAGCAGGATTTTAAAATGCAACCTGCCCTTCAGGAGATGACCTATCTGTCAGGAAACATTTTCTTGAACTATGTTATGTTTTGGCTTTAAAACTATTTTGAAAGTACTCACTTTTAATAGGAGGAAAAAAAAAGGAAACTTGCACCTCCATTGGTCTAAGTCTGTCAAATGTTTTCTTATATATGTAAGAAAAACAACTGGCTTTTAATTTTTCTTCTGCCATTATATCATACAAGGTTTTCTAGAAATTCTAGAAGGGCTTCCATGAATTTACAGGAAGAAACTGTATTTATTCTAGGGGGAAAAAACACACATATTACTCAACTATCCACTTATACTGTCTTATTGCAGTACCAAGAGTGACCCAGTATTGACTTTATGGATAAGGAGAAAATAAGAAATATAATTAAGACACATGAAAGACAACATAATAATATGCCTAAGTAGCAAAATACAGTTTAAAGCATCTAATGTCTATTGAGAATGCTCATATAAGCTTTAAAAATTTGTGTTAGGTTCTAAGATTGCTGTTCTGCTTTCACTGATAGCACGGGGTTCTCAATGTCATCCAAAAATATGCCCGAGACTTTACTGGAATGCACAGATTGAAAGCATCACAAAAGAATTTTTAATTTGCATATGTGGATTTTGGCAGGGTTTTATTCCAAGACAGTGAATTGTGATATACTCATTTTAAATTGTGTTTAACACAGGTCCTATCTGTCAGAAAACCCAATTCCAGAGAAGTAAACAAGTTTTGAATATGAAGTGCTTTTCTCCCATAACTCTGAACAAGTGCCATGTGTGTCATGCCTCAAAGTCTCATTGTCACAGGACAGAAAATGCACACAGGGTTTAAAGCTGATGCTAAAGATCTGACTGCAAGTCAAGAACATAAAGGGCTGGGACTCCTTCAGCATAAAAAAAGCAGGTGAAACCTTAAAATGGATCAGCTGATTCCAAAAGTGTGCAGGAACACACAGGTGAGCTGAACCCCCACAGAGGAGTGGGAGGACCTGAAAGGGCAGCCTCAAAGAACACTCAGAAATACAAACAGAGACTCAGGTGATTGTGCCCATAAAATACCTGAAAGGACGTTACCAGAACCTTGTGGAAGGAGAACAGAATTTTAAAAGCTTAAAATTGGACCAGAAATAGGTCAGCAAAGGCTGTTGAAAAAGTTTTCTATGCAAGGGAGATGAAAGGAAGATAAAATCCAAAGGTAAGGAGGATTCAGGAGAAAAAGAATGGGAAAATACTGCAAAGCATCACAGTTACTCATTATTGGCCACAACAACCCCCTGCAGCGCTACAGGCTGGGGACAGAGGGGCTGGAGAGCAGCCAGGCAGGAAGGGACCTGGGAGTGGGGATTGACAAGAAGCTGAACATGAGCCAGAGTGTGCCCAGGTGGCCAAGAAGGCCAATGGATCCTGGCCTGGATCAGGAACAGTGTGGCCAGCAGGTCCAGGGAAGTGATTCTGCCCCTGGACTCAGCACTGGTGAGGCCACCCCTGGAGTGCTGTGTCCAGTTCTGGGCCCTCAGTTCAGGAAGGACATGGAGGGGCTGGAGCAGGTCCAGAGGAGAGCAACGAGGCTGTGGA